GGGGGGGGGGGGGGGGGGGGGGGGGGGGGGGGGGGGGGGGGGGGGGGGGGGGGAGGAGTGCAGGGGGATCGTGGTTGTGCGCGCCTTGTGGTTGGCGTTTCACTCACGGGGGTGGGCGTCCTTCCGACACCCTTCCATCACGGTGTACGCCCGATCGGCTACTACTGCCTTTCTCGCACGCCGGTGTTTCCTTGTTCGAAGATACCCTAGGGCGGTCTTCGCTTAGTTCTCATCCTTTTTCGCGTACCGCTCACCCGTGCTACAGTACCCCCAATCGCACCCACAACCCCAACCCTACCATATCTTCTCCGCGGCCAGTTTTTATCTCTCGAGGCGCGCGATATGGCACCGCCTCTCGCAAGCGCCCCCCCGCGACCTATCGCAGCTCACTCAGCATCCGAGCCCGTTCCCTCACCCTCAACGCGAATAGCGACACCAAACCGCCCTCCGCCCCAACAGACCTCGCACCCCTTACCCCAACACCATAACGCCTCCTCGTCGTCCTGTCCCTCTTCCTCGTCCTCGTGTGTGAGGAAGGTGTGGGAGAAGGTGCGCGCCCTCGAAGAGTCCGCCCGGTCTGACCTGGCGAAGCAGGGCTTCGGGCCCGACGACGTGCGGTGCCAGACGTACCTGAACCTCCGCTTCCAGGGGACCGACACAGCCCTCATGACACCCGCGTCGCCCCCGCCGCACAAGGCGCCCGAGCCCGGCAGCAGTGGGAGCGGCGAAGGGGAGGATGACGCGCTGCAGTCGTTCTTCGGGCAGTACAGGTGAGGGGGGCAGATGGGTTTGAGGTGAGATTTCCTCGGGGGCAGGGGCGATTTGGGGCCTCGTGCCCTTCCTTGATCGATGCTGACTCTTTTTTGAGGAGTGCTACGCACGCGCCAGCGTGCCACTGTAACCTGGGCAAAAAGCACTGCGTAGCGCTACCTGGAGGAGGGCAACTTGTCTCCGGCGTCTATACTAGACACAGTGGCAGCAGCAATGCGTCAAGCGACCTCGCAAGACACAAGTATTATTGTTTTCCCAATCTACGTGTGTACCCAGCAGTACGAGGACCAAAACATGCCCGTTGATCGCCGGTATACCCACATCCTCACCCACCCCCACAAAACCCCCGTGAAAAAAAAAAAAACAGGAGGGAGTTCGGGTTCGTTTTGGAGGGACGGGCCGTCGTCGTCGACGACGTCCGGGTCCGCGCGGTCGGCCGCAGCCCGCCGGCACACCGCCCGAGGGTGGAAGCGGCCCCGCCGGGGCAGGAGTCCAACCCGGTGCCCGTGGACCACGCGTCGTGCTACTGGGAAGGGCTGGGCAGGGTCGAGACGGCTGTGCACAGGCTCGCCGAGCTTAAGGCCGGGCACAGGGTGGAGGGTGAGGAAAGACGCTGTTGCGGCGGGGGGGGCAATGAGTGGGGTTGGGG